AAATATAAGCTATTTATCATTATATTTTATAATTAATCTTCCATTGAAACTAATCACAGAACCCAAAAATGAACAAACCATTTTGGGAGCAGATTTATCACCAAATGAAATATTGAGAAAACTGCAACAACTTGCTAAAACCATTTTCAGATTCAAAATAAAGTAATTTTCTTACTAACTGGCAAATAACCACAAACAATGTGATTATACCAAACAAATCAACAGTCTCAATTGTTTGGGCCATGCCTAGGCAAGCAAACAAACAATCAGGTCAGGTTTCTTATTTAACCACTTTACCCGCAGCAAAGTCCATACACAACCAGCAATATATTATAAATGTATCTTACCGGCTGCCTCTCTGATTTTGGTAGATGTATTTAGTTCTGAACAGACTTACTGAACGGCTGACTCAGAACGCCATGCTCTCTGGTAAAATTTCACCTTAGAGGTGTACCACCTTTATTGTCCCTGTGGAACCCCTTCTGCTGAAGATGGTTCCTAGTCTGAAAAAGCCCAAGCCTGACTTGACAGTTTCAGTCAGAAACTAACTACATAACATTATTTCTCAAAATTCTAAAGTGAGCAAGGTCGGGCGAGCAGGCTGTGTCAGCAGTTCTTATCTCTACTGGCTCTGAAAGCATGAGCCGATGTTGATATTAACATTCCAAAAGGGGACTGAAGACAGATTGTCTCAAATCAAAACTGTTCAGCAACATCATACTCCTTTCAAGGTGTGCAAAACCCATATTTAAATTAAAGCATAAACTCTTTTTTTCTCATATATTTCAGCTGTTATTTCTCAAGGCCTATCTGATTTCTGCTTCAGCCTCTTGGCTGATAGAATATTGTCCTACTTGAGACCAATGTCTGTTATAATATGTGTGATACGACCAAGCCCCCACAATGCGGCTCAAAAATTGGTCCCAACCCGGAAGTACCAAAAATTGCTGTTCCACCCTCATCCGCTGGGGGCTGGTGTCAGAAGCGAGCAAATCCTCATTGACTCCCATGTTAAAAATACCAATTTCACAGCAGAAATAAACATGTTTACAGCCTGGTACCAGAACATGTTTTTTGTTTAAATTATCTAGTTTACACTCATGACAACTCTGAGGGGGATGACTTTTTTTCTCTCACTCTTCTGTTTAAGTGTATTAAAAGCCTAAAAGTCTGTATAATTAATGAGCATCCGACCCACGTGACCACAGAGCTAGCTCCGTGGAAAGGCCTTAGTAGGGCCTCGGTCTGGCTTGGAAACTGTTCTGGGACTTTGAGTCTCTGTGTTTGTGTATTCTTTTTTGGATATTATTTGTGCAATTGTTGAACAAAACGACTTGCTGTGGCATTAATTGCACTAATAGAGCGTCCAAGGAGACTCCACTTCATTTTTTTCGGTAAGTAAAATTATATTTATCTATTTTAGGTCACTGCCGAGCTGAGCTTAGATTTTAACATGTACTGTTTAACCATGAAATTTAAATGTAATAGGGGTAAACCCAGTGCATTTAACATAATGCTGCACTTTAGAAAATGGGTTGAAATATAACATGTTAGTGGAGCTGGGTTCCAACTATCGGCTTGTGGATCTCTCAGGAGACCGATGTTTTCCACCCGTTTCTCCCCTCCCCGCAGCCCGGCGCATCTCTGTCTGATCGCGGCTTCTGTCTGCTGCGCAGGCTGACGGCTGGGTCTCCCCGCAGCTCGGCACATCTCTGTCTGATCGCAGCTTCTGTCTGCTGCGCGGGCTGCCGGCTTGTGGAGCTCTGGGATGGAAACCTTTCCACCTGGTTCTACCCAGTGGCAGCTCTGCTCATCTCAGATCGCAGCGGCGTTTGTCTGCTGTGCGGCTGCTGAGTTGTGGAGGTCTCGGAGACCTTTGTGTTCCACCCGGTTTTACCCAGCGGTCAGCCCGGCGTATCTCTGACTCAGAAGCTCAGGTGTTGTGCACAGTTAACTCCGGTTGTAGCTAGGTTGCTACCTCCATTAGCTTAGCTCCCACCTCCGCATTAGCTTTGGGTTAGCTTCAGGTTAGCTTGTAGCTAGTTCGACCAGGTGTCGTCAGTTGATCCCAGCCTTACAGCCCCACCCTCAGCTCCACCTCTCTTCCCTTTTATGGAATTGTCTGGGCTTGACGGAACCTGTGACACGGTCAAAATGGTGGTGGTGGCCACCTCCCATTTTAGCAGAAAGACTTGTTATTGGAGCCTATGGAAACCCATTGTCCATTTATGTATGTCGATGGATACGACCTTGCTGTTTAACCCAGACACAAAGGAACGTGAAATTCTGTGTCAAAGCATTTAAAAGTTCCCAAGCTGAGAATACACAAACAATTAAACCAATTTAAACTTTTTAACGTAAATTCCCTACAACAGCTTTAATCTGCTGTCTCATTTAATTTTACTGCTAGACAGTTTCTTCCCACGTTATGATCACAAAGCCCGCTAATCGGAGATCTGAACAAGTTCCTACATTGGACAGATGCCAGGAGATTCAGTTAATGACAACCGATATTTTTTAGAGTGTTCAAAATGCAGTTTTTGAATTCAACAGGTACTGCCCACCAGATTATTTCCACCCTGGTGCGATTGTCATCCGCTGAACTCCCTTGTCTTGATTTTAAACGTCAGAAACAAAGATTTTAAACAAACAAACAAAAATAAGGAGATAAAATGCAATTTTACTATAGTCATTAGTTTTTTGTTGGTCTGGAATTACTGTTAAATCACAGTCAATTTCTCAGTCCAAGAGGTTTCAACCAAAAACCTTCATACTTAGCTTTTTTTTCCTAGAAGTACTGTTGAACAATCAATTTCTCAAATCGAGGGGTTCCACTAAACCCCTTCCCTTTCAGCCACTAAAAGTGACACGGTTCAGAGTTCAAATTATATTTGTCACCAAAATACCAGGAATTAAATATTTGGTCAGTGCTTAACCCTTTTGATGCATGAATTATGAAATCTTCAACCATGATTTTTTTAACAAATACTTTCATTCATCTTTCATCTTTGGGTGTGAATGAAACAAATTTCAACAATATTGTTTGTAACATTTAATAATTTGCAAATAGTTTGTTACATGTTCACTTCCGTGGACAGCATGCATTCTGAACATGAAATATGGGCTTGACTTACTGAAGTAAAAGGGAGGGGCTAAAATGCAATAAAGTCTTCAACAGCTGTGCTTAATAGCAAAATAAATAAATTTCAATTTTGAGAATCTGTCCACTGTAGTGACCATTTTGTAACAAGGAGTTAATTTTTCATCTTTATGTTCTAGTTAAGTAGCCTCAGGCTTCAATTGACCTAGGTGGCTTAGACTCAGAGCACAGCTGCAGTCGTTTTGATATTTTTAGGCAGGCTTTGCCTCCTCTGTTTTACATTTTCAATCCTTTCTTTCTCTCCACCGCTCTGTGCTTCGTCGTAAGCATAATCCTCATAGCTCATTCATAATTTTCTTATTTCTCTCTGTAACTATCCTACTTTAAGGTTACTCTACAAGCGCAGCACGTCAGCGGTTACCAAAATACCAGCAACACATGTTTTTTCATCAATATCATTTCCCCATTTGCTGGATTTGCATTTCCATCAATGTACCATCTTAATTCAAAAGTTGTTTGTGAGTTCTTTTCTCCCCCATATTTTAGAAACCACATCGTCTTTTCTTTGGCATGAGGTCAGATTTAGGCTTACGGATCTGCCCTTCAACTGTATTCTAATACAGAGAGGTCTGATTTATGGCGTGTCCGCCAACCTGTTTAAAAATCTGACCAGCGATACGTCAGACAGATGTTAAATGACTTGCAATATCCTTCTTTCTACAGGGATAAGGCAAGCCCAGGCACACTCTCAATCATTCAAACAACGATTACAACATTTAAGACAAACAACACACAGATAGCTAGAACACGTTTCTACTTCTCCGGCTAAAACGCTAAACCCCAAGTCAAACTTAGACAGCATTCATCTGTCAAACATCACTTCTGGCGGACAACACCATAATTTGAATCTCAATAGTTATCATACCGGTCTACTTATCAACACCAGAATTGCATTTCTAATTTCGGCTAAAATGCACAAAACCAGCCAAACTCAAACAGTATTCATAAGCCCAACTCAGACAGTATTCAAATAATCTGTCCATACATCATTTCTGGCTGATGATACCAAATTTGAATCTCTGATCACATATACCAAAATTGAATCAGTCCATACATCATTTCCGGCTGATGATACCAAATTTAACTTTGGGTCACGTAGGATTTCTCTCGGTACCACAAAACAAACAACAAACTTGTCTCACCAAATTTCTCCACAGATCTTGGGTAGTTCGTGGATCCACATTTCCTCCCAGTGACGTCAAGAGCCTCACACCGACACCCCCCCCCCCCCCCCCCCCTCTCAACAAAACTTAGCGCTGGAGGAGATTTATGTTGTCGACAGTCCTCCGGCGTCGGTTCTTGGTTCTGCTAGGTGACGGGACCCCGGCTCGAAGGACCAAATTATGTCATAGATTTTATCAATATGTTTACCAATGAACCATTTCCTGTAGTGAAGAGAAAAGGAGACAATGAGCAGACAAGTCAACCAGTTATAACTGTGGCACATGCACGAGGAAAAATGCCCCGAACATCTGATCACAGAGTTTATTTAAAAAAATAGATACGAATGGGAGTGATGTCACTGTGTGAGAGAATGTGTGTGTGTGTGTGTGTGTGTGTGTGTGTGTGTGTGTGTGTGTGTGTGTGTGTGTGTGTGTGTGTGTGTGTGTGTGTGTGTGTGTGTGTGTGTGTGTGTGTGTGTGTGTGTGTGTGTGTGTGTGTGTGTGTGTGTGTGTGAGAGAGAGAGAGAGAGAGAGAATGCTTCAGGACATTTGTGAATAGGATTAAAGCAATGAAATATACAATTTCCATAACATGCATTTTAGGGTTAATGAGGTGACGGTGGCACAGAAGTTAAGTGCTCACAATCAGAAGGTTGCAGGTTTGAGCCCCGCTCACTTTGTCGCTGTCATTGTGTGCTTGGGCAAGACACTTAACCCCCTTGCCCACTGGTGGTGGTCGAAGGGACTAATGGCGCCAGTGTGCGGCAGCCTCACCTCTGTCAGTGCACCCCAGGGCAGCTGTGGCTACATCGTAGCTCATCCCCACCAGTGTGTGAATGTGTGTGTGAATGGGTAAATGACTGATTGTGTTGTACAGTGCCTTGGGAGGTTCCATGACTCTAGAAGGCGCTGTATCAAATACAGGCCATTTACGATTTATTTACCATTAATGAATTCATTTTCCATTTGTTTTCCATACATTAATAAGATAGGGATTTTTTATTGTCATTATGCATACATATAACAACATTTGGTTGGTGGCTGTCAGCTTAAAGGACAATAAAATGGTAAAAAAAAAAACATGAAAAGTAAAATAAAACATAAACGTCTCATTCTGGAAAACCATGCACACGATAGTAGAAAGAATAAGAAGCTAAATATTTCAATGATATAAAAGATTAATATTAAAAACACAGGTTGCAATGATTTGACATTATGATGATACCGATCAGCTAGTTGATTGATATTATTGCACTACTTTGTTGTTGCACATGGAAGATTCAGTGTAAACAGGAACAAAAGCAGCATGAGAAAAACAGAATCATTGTAAATTGCAACTGACCCATCATCAGAAGTCTAGTAGTCTTATGGTCAGGGAGTGGGAGTGTGGGCATCTGCAAGGTGGGGGAGGGATTGCATTCACAGCTCATGGGAGGAAGCTGACAATGCATACAGTTTTTCACAAACCAATGTGTTGTTGTGTCCACTTGGTGGTGCTAGGGGATCAAATCAAACAAAGGTTTAAAACTTCTATAGACCTGTAAAACCTTGTGGATATAACTGTTTGATTTTAAATTCAGGAATTGTTAGAAACAGACTTCAAAGCTAAAGAGACAGCAAAATGAAACTGAAACTATTATGTCAGATAAAATAATTCAAACAAAGCAAAGGACTTTTACCTGGTAGCAATGCTGCTCATTCATATGAAGGCCATCATTGTGACAGCTGGGGAATGATGCCACTTCCTGTTAAAATAGGTTGAAAGCCATTGCAGATAGGTAAACTTTACACACATAAGCAAATGATGAAGCAGGCAGAGGTCCTAGAATAGAAAACAAATGTGGTGAAAGGCAGTCAAACACAGCTCTTAGGGCCACGTATATAAATTAGAAGCAACAATGCTTCTAAATCTCATAATTGGAAAGTCAGATTAGTCACCCTGTGAAGATTACTTAAGCTGTATAGTTAGTTCCATAAATGCAGAATCCTCTCCTAGAACTCAAAGATGTCTAATCCAGCTTCCCAACAACATGTTATACTCATTCCCCTTGGCGTTTCACTATTTAGCTAATTTATACATGAAAACTTCATGAAAAATAATTAAGTATTTTTACAATTATTTGCCAAAACAGAGCAGTAACAAGTGGAAACTATTTTATTACCCTTTATTGTCAATTATTAAAAAGATGTAAGGTAATATAAATGATGCAAAGACATTCACCTCCTGAAAGTCAGTATGTAATAGAAGCACCTTGGCTGCAGTCACATCAAAGGCATTTAGTTGTTAGGTGTAATAATTCTAAAACTACTGATATTAACAACCTGGACCCAGGGCCCCCCCCAGGTACCCCCCCCCCCTTCCCTTTTTATGAATCATATTTATTTTATGTTCGCACAAACCTTAAATTCATTTTTCTTTAATCAAACAACAAATGTAAAATTGTGTAAAAATATTTAATGAGTAAATTAAATATTAATTTCTAAAAATCTATATATGCTCACCATTTTCAAAACAAAGTGTAAATCTGTATAGTTTTTGTGGTTGTTTTTGGGAAGATATCAAAGTGCTAAATTCTAAAGAACAAAATGGGTGAAATAATTTAAAAATCATATGAAATGCCTTTTTTATTGTTTCTGTTTCCTTAAATTTGTAGTAAATGTGTTGGATGCATTTTATTTTAAAATCTAAATGAGTGAAGGAGCACAAACTGCACAGCCACAAGTGAAACTCTTCTAGAGTTTCCATAAACACCAACTTGGTGTGCCACCCCAAATTGTTCTCTGGCTCCTCTTTGAACATTTTCTGGGGGCACCACTGGCTGGGCCTTATTGAATTAGATATATAACTTGATTTTTAATGCAAATACTTAAAACAGTAAATATTTTAATGAATTTGTACTAAAGTCTTGTTATGAAAAATGCTTTTCTTACAGCTTATCAAAAACGGCCTAATTATATTTACCACCACTGGATGCTTTTGGAACAAAAAATAATTGAACAAACACATTTCCTAACTTTAAGGTCACAAAAGGAACAGATTCAGGTCTACCCGAGGAATCTCAAAGTGTTCCCAGACCAGGAAGGATGTATAACCCCTCGAGTGAGTTTTGGGTCAGCCCCATGGTTCGATGCACCGCTGTGTCATCTTCATCAGGTGCGTGAACCACCTCAGCTAACTCTTTTTGACAAGGAGAAGCAGCTCTGTTCCAGGCTCCTCTGGATTATGGAGCTCCCCACAGTACGCGTAAGCCTGAAATTCCCATTTCAGCTCGTTTCAGCTGCTTTCATGCAGGAGTTTGTACTTTCTGTATCAAATAATAAAATCAGGAACTTTTATTCAGCTTCGTCTTCACCATGACGTACAGGAGCAGGGCCCTCATTGGTGCAAATGAAGCCCAGATCTCAGTTCCTCTCTCGCTTCCCCCTGGGAACAACACTCAATCCCAACTGGAAGAATCACTCAGCCTTTTTCCAGTGAAGTAATTTCCTATAAAAGCATTAGATGGCGATGTTGTTCCATGAAATGTGATTAGACATGAAGCCAAATCCACTGCTGATAGTGGCAGTCAGCTTGTCTGACAGCAGCAAGCTGGAAAGACTTCCTGTGTTCATTTAGGATGCGTCTCATTTAGTGTGTTTGTTGTGTAACATGAAGACAGGTTTGGGATCATTAAATTTGAGCGAGGATGAAAGATATGCTAATATCACAACTTTACTGCGGAGCAAAGGAAGAAACGCTGTCAGAGTAAAAAGGAAGCACTAAATACAAGACAGATAGCGCTACACATTCTCAAGTCAATGTCACAACACAGTCAGCCCCTCCCAAGACTCCTATATATTTAGTATACTCTCGTGGTAATGCCCTGACAGATAATCCAAGCATGAGCTGACAGCAAAGTTTGTAGTCATTTAAACACTTTGACAAGTCTCTGACAGCCTCCCCTTTTTAATGCCAACACTTTCTGACCCTGCGAGGGCTGCCTGGTGTGTTTCGTGTACCTGAGGTTAATGTCGCACAAGCCCAGTCCTGTCGCTGTAAATGAAGACCTGCTGCAAACAGGCGTACATCCTGCAGCTACATCTGGCATCCCGGTGTTCTCCGTGGGCTGAAAGATTACCTCACATTACCTCTCTGAATCTAAATTCAGTAGGTTCCTTTAAAATAAAAAAAAGAGCTCTGATTACTCTGAAGCAAAGTGCTGATTGTATATTTTATGTTCACAGATTCTGGTGTTACATGAAAGTTAAAATGTTCAAATAAACTGAACAAACTTCAAAAGATTTGTGTTTAAAATAAAAAATGTATGACTGCAATTTGCGTTTAGAGCTTAAAAGTGTGTTATGTTAGAAGGACACCCTGTGGTCAAATGTGGGTACTGCAGTCCATTTTTAAGACAAATAAGTGACTTGCTCACTCTCATTCCGTGACTTTCGTGGCTGTTGCCAATTACGGATCAGCTCCAGAAGATTGTAGATGACAAGCAAAGACGAGTCATACACAGTGTTAAAAGATTTTGGTCTTTGAAAAAGTAGCTTGAGATATTTTAAAGCTGACTATTTATTCTAATTCCCTGTTATAAATGGTTAATGGCTTATATTTGATATAGTGCCTTCTTGAGTCCTAGAACCCCCCAAGACACTTTACAACACAATTAGTTATTCACCAATGCACACACATAGTCACACTCTGGTGGTGATGAGCTACGATAGGCAAAGCTGCCCTGGAGTGCAATGACAGAGGCGAGGCTGCTGAGCACAGGCGCCACCGGTCCCTCCGACCAATACCAGCAGGCAAGGTGGATTAAGTGTCTTGCTCAGGTACACAATGGCAGCATTCTGACCGCAGCCAGGATCAATCCCACGGCCCTTTGTTTACCAGACAACCTGCACTACCTTTTGAGCTACTGCTACCGTTAGTATCGTTAGCATAACGTTAGCCTCCATCCTTCCTTGCTCGATATTAGAGTAAAACAAAAAGATGCCGTGGCTTCTTAAGGTGCTTTTATAAGACACACCATGCCGGCAATTCGGCGTAATATTACCACAATGGTATGTCTATAAACGCGCCATGCCGGCATGGCGTTGCGCGAATGTTGCGGCATTCGTTCCGCCTGGCTTGGTAGTAATATTGCGGTAATGGTCTGTTGTATGCGCCCTACAAGAGATAGCATCTGGGTCACCTCTGTTACTGGTTTAGGATTTTTAATAGGCCCTACTATGTTTTGTACCTTAAGTCAAATAATTATCTTTAAAAAGGGTCAAATGTAGAATTACCTGTGCTCCTGAGGCCATGAAATCAGAATACGAACAGCGTGGAGCCTTGTGCTAAAATAAAAGAGAGAGAGAGAGAGATCTGTTTCCACCACCCCTGCAGGGGAAGGTGGCCTGAAAGTCCATATCAGAATGGAAAATCTATACCTGACAGAGGAGCAGCATGTCATTATAGATGAGTCAGTGATGCTCTACCTGGAGGTTCTTGCCTGTGTGCTAACATCTGTTTGCATATCTCTGCTTCATGACATTTACCCTTTGAACAATCATGGTTAATAATGCAAAAAAAGCTCCCATCATAAACGAAATTAGTTTTACAACAAAGAGTGCTCAAAATGAAAACGATCTGGTCGTTGCAGGATGCCACAAATGACTCCCAACTCCCCTCTGGTGTTTAACTCACCTATAATGACTCAGAATCTCATTGTTATTCAGCTCTAAAGGTAAAACTTAGCTCCTGATCCTCTGATTTCAGTGACTGGAACATAAAAAAACACAAGTTTTCATTTGCCTGTTGAAGGAGCTGTGTGGATGATATCAATTAACCTAATTGCTGTGACCATGTGGACTGAGATTATTGTGTGGCTGCTGGGCTGTCTGTTGTATTGTACCTCCTCTTGGAGCCTGTGGATTGCTCATTGACTCACCCGGCAGTAGCGTTTCCTAGCAACGCCTCTTGAATGTACTGTACAGTACTTCCCCATCTCAGGGGCGCCTTTAATCGTCTGCTTTCTATTTCCATGCAAGCTTTGTTAAAAAGATTTATCTGGCATTTAAAAGCGCTGCTTTTCCTGCGTTGTTCCTCTTCTCAGAAGACAGTGTAGGTGCACGGATCGATGCGGTTTACAGCAACGTTTTGCTGTGCTTTTCTTCAAAATCATTCACTTCTATGACAAGAAAATTACCACCATGCAGGAATCCGAGGACTCCAGCTCGCACAGCGAAGTGGAAAACGCTGATTGGAGCTCATTGATCAGAATGAATGGTGCAAGAATGATAGCGGTGTTCCGCCGAAGAATTGCTTTGACCTCAGCAAATTCATTAACTGTTCCACATGTTTGATAGACAGTTTTAATAAGTGGGGGTAATTTCACTGAAGGACCTCACAGTAATCACAAAGCGCTCTGAATCCAACACCATGAGGCTGCACAATTCATCTACACTGTTGCCTGATATTTGCCTTCATGGTGTCTGTTCTGCAGCAGAAGTGCTGCACAATTTAACTGATAAACGTAATGGAGCAGAGCTTCACAGCTGCACCATCTGTAGAAAGAGCTGCATTAGACTGCTACGAGCTGAGCTGAGGGCAGTTGGGAAAGGTAATCTGTTTGTATACGATGAATCCTGTCATTACATGTATTGTTGTTGCCTGCGTCCAGCGGTGAAATTTATTGCCCATATAAGGGCTCCTCATCATGTGGCTGACAGATAGTATATATTTTCCAGGACAGGAAATCATGAGTCTTGCTGCCTGGTGAAAGAGCCACTGAGATCTTTCTAAATCATAACAAAGGAAAACTGCATGTGGTATGTTATGTAGAGCTAAAGCTGTCATGCACCTGTGATCTCTGGTATAAATGAATGCCTTGTGAGTCGTTCTCTGTGGAAAAAAATGGCGTTCTTGTTTCAGACAGTACAACATGGAGAGGGAAGCAGAAAAACAGCAAGATTTGGAGTCTTATTCATTGTTACTCACAATATTCGGACATCTCTGATCAGCTGAAAGCAACACAACTCTTCCACTGTTTTCGTGCATGTTGCAACGCTGATGGATGTGTACAAATTCAGAGACCACATTCTTTGATAGCTGGATATATATGTATATATATATATATATATATATATATATATTGTTATATAGAGATATATATATTGTTATATAGAGATATATATATTGATATATAGATATATATATTGATATATAGAGATGTATGTATGTATGTATGTGTGTATGTATGTGTGTATGTATGTATGTATGTATGTATGTGTGTGTGTGTGTGTGTGTGTGTGTGTGTGTGTGTGTGTGTGTGTGTGTGTGTGTGTGTGTGTGTGTGTGTGTGTATGTGTGTGTATGTATGTATGTATGTATGTATGTATGTATGTATGTATGTATGTATGTATGTATGTATGTATGTATGTATGTATGTATGTATGTATGTATGTATGTATGTATGTATGTATGTATGTATGTATGTATGTATGTATGTATGTATGTAATACATACCATAAATCCTCTGTTACAGGCCCGGGCCTGTATTTGACTCAAGCTCATCAAACTCCAGGCCTTTATTGGAAGGAGGACCAGAATTAGAGACAGGCCTCAATTTCTATTTGAGCAAAATGAACTAATGGTTCGCTGGAGTTTTTGACAATTAAAATTGCGCCCACATTTTCAAAGTTAAACACATTTCTTTTAACAACGGTAGTTTCTGCTTCAGCCCTCTCTCCCCTCCCCCTGCGCAGCGGCCGCAAACTCACTGATGCGCCTGCAGCCTCTCAGAGTTCCTGCTGCTCTAAACATTAAAATAATTATTTCATTTTCTCTTCCTCACTTCTGATTACCTTCAACGTTGTCTGTTTGTTGCAGCCACCAGGTACAAAAACTAACTTGTTTTTATTTGACTATTTTTCTGTCCTGCCTGTTTATTATCTTCCTGCATCTCCTCTCAATCCTAAAGAAAAACTGCTACCTGGGTTCAGATAAAATCACCTTATGAGTTACCTTTGAACTGCAGTTCAAAAAGATCTACCAACCGCAAAAACAGCGGAGTGCTCGCTACTTGCCGGCCACATCAGTGAGGTGCATCACCGAGGACAAAACAAGTGATGCGCCCCGATCCACAGCAGCGAAACGCATCAGGCACAACTAAAAGAATAAAAGACAGAAAACATAAAAGGAAATAAGC